TCTCGAGGGGGTCTTGGAACTGCGAAATGAGCACTTTTGGACTGTTGGTTTCGGCACTCTCATCGGCAGTCTCTACGTTCGTGTTCGACGTGATGCTGACGAACAACTGGTGCTCGCTCACGTTACTAATCGCCTCCACCCTCTCGTCAAACATCTCACAATTCAGGTATTCCTTTTTCCTCAGACATGCTATTTTTGCGTCGACCGATTTCGGAGAAAAAAAGCCGCTTCCAGTTGTAATTTTAACGACACCTGTCTGCTGGAACCTACCGCCATTGTTGTTTGATTTGGAAAATGTCTCATTGGGCTCCTAAAATACTGCATCCATGTTTATTTTCAGAAAATCGTTGTTCAGCCTTCTTAAAACGTATTCAACTAGTGACCAGCTGTATTTTAGGTTTTTAATTATGCGCAAAACCCATACTAATAAGTATCCGTATGACAGTTCTATCGTTGAGTCCGACAATATCTACCGCGTGATTTAGCAGGCTTAAAACAAACGCGGTGACTTGCGTGTGCATTAGTTTTCTGCGATCACAGACTTGCGCAGCATCTACCGCACGCTCTCCTACCTCAACTACTTGTGCGAGTGTCTGTATATCAGTTAGCTCGCGCCATGTTGCAAACACTGCCTCCGGGTTCTCTGCGACTGAAGCTGGTTGTATGTTCGACTTCTCCAGTGCGTGGCGTTGGCTTCTTTAAGCTTTTCGACAATAAGGAGCAGTTAGAGCTTTAACGTTAATTTTTTTCATCGTTAAGCCTGGACTTGAGTGTCCTCGTTTGTACGGACGGACACGAACAAATAGAGCGGAGGCCTGAAGCATAAGCTGTAGCGAGCGGCGCAGTAGTAATACGATGCGTCTTCTAAGCACTAATTTCAAACTCTGTAGTCTACAAATATTTCTGACCACGAGTGGTACCATACGGCAATGAATATTGTCTTTTACTAAAATGGTTGACCAGAATTGGCAGCCTCGTATTTTCACTTGACACAATTGTAAAAAGTTCGGCGACCTTGGTAGGATTCGAATCCATGCCAGCAAGGGAAGGCTTTATTGCAGCGAACGCTCTAGCTAACTAAGCTATGAGA